CCTCCCGTTTGCTCCCAGGGGCTCCACGAAAGCCCGAATTGGTGAAGGAGGCCTCAGTCCAGCAGGGCGGAGGGAGTGGTTGGCTCTGCTGTGCTGACCCTGTCAGTGGGGACCAAGGTGTTTTCTAGAAACTTGGGGTGGAAGAGAGGACCCTACTTCCCCCCTCACCTAAGGCCTTGACCTTCAAAGGATTTCATATTCTGAGTGGCAAAACCCTTTGTAGCCATCTTGCCACCTTCAACTGCATCCTGGCGCTGAAGAGTCCTGCCTTGGTTTCTACGGTGCCCAAGAATAGTTTTGACCTTTGAGACCTGGGGAGGCCCTAATCCCTGCCCCTGTGCCCTGTGAGCTTTTCGGGAGGGGTGCGAAAGTGTGGGTGGCTGGGATGCTACAGAGAGGAGGGAAGAGTGGAGAATTTCGGCAGTTTCTGACCCTCTGGCTTTATTTCTGCGCCTGGCAGGGAAGACTGGCGCCTGCCAGGGCCATGAGGCCCCTCCGGAGCCTTGGGGCCACCCCCCTCCATCCTCAGGCTTGTCACTAGGAATAAATAGCCTTGGCCTGGGTAGGGACCGGGTGGGGTGGGGACGGAGAAGGCTCCGCTTAGCTGTTTGCAAAACAAGAGACAAAAACCAAGCGTGGAAATAATCTCAATACCTCAGTGGAGATAAGGGTGCCCACAAAGACACCCCCACGTCTCAGGCTGGGTCCAGCCAAGCTCCCACTGTAGGGCCTAACACCTTCCTAGGCTGTCAGGCAGCTGCACCCTCTTTGCCTCACGTGCCTGGGCCCACATCGATGTCCCCACATCCACATCGGCCTCCAGGACAGGTTTCCTTTCAGAATTGGTTGTTTGTTTACTGTTATTTGATGACTAAACTGCAAGAGCCACGAAGGCAGGGATTATTTCCTTTTTGTTCACCCCCGGATTCCCAGTACCTGCTACATGTAATAAACCATAGGGATCTGCTATCTGAAGTCCAGGGAGAGAACAGCCAGCCTCCAGTGGGCGTTTTCTCTGGGATTTGCCTTGCTGGTTTATGGGACTCCCAGCCCAGGGGGATGCAGGGTAGAGTATGTACTTTTCTTGGTTGGAGCAGATAGCAAGTGTGTGTGTGTGGGTCAGCTGTAGGTGAGAGAAGGGCAAAGGTGAGAAGCTTCAGAAAGGAAGGCGTTATAAATGAGTAATAAAGGTGTTGGATAGAAGGCAGTCCTGGGATCTCTCTTCTTTACTCATGGTTTGAATCTTTGCTGAATAATACCTTTAATGAGAGCCAGTGTCTCCTGAGTTCTTACTTTGCACCTGTCCCTAAACACAACATGCATTAATGCACTTCATTATCCAATAACTTTCTTAAACATATGTTTATCCTCATTCTAGAGATGAGAATGTGGAGGCACAGAGAGATTAAGTGACGTGTCAAAGACAACACAGCTGAAAACTGCAAAGTCAGGATTCAAACTCAGACTGTCAAATGTCAAAGGCCCTTACCCAAAACTAAGCTTACTGTCAGGCTCTGCTTCTGTACTCACTTAACTTTTACAAGCCTCTGTCTCACCTGTTAAGAGTAGCTGACTGTCTCAGAAATGTTGCACTGGACGAGACACACAACAGGTTTTCAATATGTCCCCAAGCGCCTTTCATGGTCAAGTGTTAAGGTCCTGCTGCTTGGGCTTGGGCGTCTAAAGGTCACAGAAAGTTAGGAGACCTCTGGCTCAGGCCAGCCTAGGGGAGGGAGCCTGGCCTAGGGCAGGGGGGCTGTGTCCTTTCCCCTCTCCACTTTCAGCTCCCCAGTGGGTTCACATTTCCCTGCTCATTTTATTTCCATTGGCCCACTAAGACATGCCCCAGGGAGTTCAGGGATCAGCCACATGGACTCCCTGTTCCCTGTCTGTCCTCTCCCCCTCCCTGGGAAACAGGTGTGTCTGAGCCTGGGCTGGAAGCAAAGACCAAGTACTAGATGAAGGGCCTCGGGTAAGGATCTGGTAGCCCAAGAGGTCCCCACACACCTTTTCCTATTTTATACTCAGGGTTACCTTGCCGAGCTCTCACTGTGCTAGAGTTTTCTAAACTAGTCCCCGGGTCAGTATTGACAGGCCTTCCATGGCTTGCTCTGGGTGCTGAATCACTCCCTGGTGCCTGTAACCACAAGTCTTCCTTCCTCCCACTGAGAAAATATCCTTCCTTCTCTTGACTGCGTTGCTCACTCTTGCCGCTGTGATGCCTAGAGTCCTCCCAGGCCGCAAGGCTTAGCAGACACCCTCTTTCAAATTGCTCAGAAACTTTCCTTTTGATCCTAAGCCCGGCAATGGGTTTGTGGGTGGGGAGGGTGAAATGACACAAGTGACTTTCCCAGAGAATGGGAGTTGGTGGGGGATGGAGGGAGAACTAGCGCAATCAAATGCTATCTGTGTGCACGGTACATGCTTAGATTGGTCATTACCTCTTTAGTCTTCAAAAAAGCCACATGAGGTGGTTATTGTTATTTCATAGAGAAGGACGTAAGCATCAGAGATTTTTTTTTTTTTTTTTTTTTGTT